AGTTGAGCATAACAAAAGTTGGTGACGTATAATTTGATAATACTTTTTAAGACTTCTGTTCAGGAGTTTTGGGTCAAAGCAGTAGTTCCCAGTATAACAGTGTCATCATTCCTGACACCTGCAGATCAAAAATGAGTGACCTACATCATCCTAAAAAAATCCTTAAGGAGAGCAGCATTTTCTTCTACCTTCTACTGTCTACCTTCTTCCTTTTTTTTAATTGTGAAATATTTTACTTCACACCTCAGTGAGAGGGAACTCAGATTTAAGGTTGGCAGATTATTGTTAGGAAGTGTCCACAGTCTTTTGTCAGGTTCTCCCTGGCACAATTGTAAAGTCCCTCCTTTATCTCCTTTCTGCTTTTAGAACATTTAGGTCAAGAGTCACATCAACTCTAGGATATCCAAGGTTGGATATTCTCCCTTCAAGAGCTGATCCCTCCCCCTCCCCACCATTTTTTAAAGGAAAGCTTCAGTATATCCTATTGCTACTGATATGCCCTCCTAGGAATTGTGTATACTGTAATGGGTAAAATGCATTAATCCAGAAGCCTGAAGAGGATGCTGAACATAAGTACATACAGTACCTTCAAACAGTCTTGATGCAACCATGGTTGCTCAAGGCTAGGGGAGATTAAATCATCTCTCCACTTCCCTGCCTTTTACTTCTCTCCCTTGCAAATTCTGCCAGGGTAAAAACATTTCTAAAAGAAATTTCTAAAAGAAATTTACTACAAAGCCCATTAAGCACTGAGTCTTCTTCATGCAGGATCCAGAGCATCCAACACTCTGGCTTCCATTCTGAACCCTACAATAAGAAACAACAGAGGCACCTACAACGGGGCACATCTGAGAACCGGAGGCTGATAATTGGTTGCCATCTGTGAGATATAACATACATGTTTATAATTCCAGTGGGATAAAGGTCCAATATAGACAGCACAACAAACAGAAGGAACTATAACACTTCTGGTTTCAGATAAATCATACCTTTTTGTGTGTATGTGTGCTTTTGGGTCAGTTTTTGACTCCTGGTGACTGCCTGGACTAGTACCTGCAGTTTTCTTGACAAGATCTTTTGTTTGGAAGTGGTTGACCCTTGCCTCCTTCTAGGGCTGAGAGAGCGTAAGTAGCTCAAGGTCATCCAGATGGCTTTGTGCTGGAAGCAGAACTAGCACTCACAGTCTCCTGGTTTCTAACCCAGTGTCTTAACTACTACATCAAACTGGCTTTCATACCTAGCATCTTTTTATATTTATTTATTTATGTTTCAAAACTAAGTCACAGAATTTAAAAATACAGTACACTATTAATATATGCATAAGTAACTATATATAGAACATACATACATAAGAGGAAGAAACCTTATAAAAACATTTCATTGAAGAGACCAGTTTCTATAAGCTAAGGCTATAAAAATTTCATTTTATCTGAACATAGGAAACATAAATTCTCCTAACTGTAATTAATGTCTATACCACATGATACTGTGTTGTCATTTATCAAATTTATAGAGAGAATGGAATTTTTTTTTACAAAGTATGTTGATAGTTATTTTAATATATTAGTTAAAATTAAAGATTGTAATTGGTTTTCAACAAAATTCTTGGTTATTGATAACATTCAAGGGTTTTATAATCCATCTGTTTAAAATGCCAATAATTGTGGAAAGAGAATGGTGCATGTCCAAGAGACTTACAGTATTGTCACTGCTAATAATTCATTAGTCCCAGTGTAGCAGCCTTCTGGCCAAACTTGCCTGTAGCCTCCCTAAGATGGAAGTTGATTATCCTGAAAGGATAACACAAAAGTTAGTTTCTCTAATTTCAGTTATAAGTTGACTTTAGAACTGCATGTACATACCTGCACATTTATATTAAATGAAAATGGGTAGCATAATTATCAGTACTTTCCAACATTTCAGCAACAGGGAGATTGATTAACCATGTCAATTCATAGCCATGTCCCATTAAACTCTTTCATTTAATATGAATGTGTATGTATGTACATGTATAAATATATAATATTTTGTTGGTTCAGCAGTATATTTGTGGCTCTTAGACAAAAAAAGATTCCCCATTGATTAAACTGCCAAGTGTTTGCACAATTTTTACATTGTTTTCTTTGTGACTGAAAAAGAATTTCATTAATTTATTTAATTTCCATTTTTGAATAATCAAAGATTTTATAGTGCTCCTTCTTCTCATGTACAAAGTTGTTATTTTTTCTCTTCCTCCCCAAAATCAATCTGTCATATTTCTATAACAAAGGGGGGGGGAAAACATCCGAAGTTGACATTGTTTCTAGTTTCTATATTCTAGTTTTTATTTATTCATTCATTCATTCCTTCAATGCTTCTAGGAAATTGAGCCAAGCCTAATTAAAACGTTCCTAAAAAATGGTTTGGAAGAAGGTGGTAGTTTCAGGTTCCTGATCATCTCACATCCACAGATTTCTAATATTATAGTGAATAATCGTGGCAGGTAGTCTTATAAGACAGAATCGATAATTGTATATTATTTTTATATACAGTAGAAGAAAATATAAATCAGTAACTCCCCTTCTCTCTGCCCTTGATATTACAATTTTCCAGCACTGATCTTTCTTACTGTGTATGAAAGACACACACAAAACAGTGTGATTAAGTGATTAAATTGTGGAGAAAGGAGGTTTTGACTTATATTTAATAGCTAGTAAACATTTAATGTTTATGCCCATATACTGAATAAGTAAGCATGGTAATCAGACTGTGTTCTCTACTCACAATACTGGGTCACTGCTAATAGCAATGAGCATATCAGAAAGTTAGAATTTGTCTAATATTTGCCAACGTAAGTTCAGCAGAGTGTTGTTTTTTTAAACTGGATTTCTTTTTAATTCAGGAAATGAAGCAAGTATCAGCTTATAATCTCAATACAGGTAACATGTGAATTATTATTCACAGGAGTTCTAGAATAAAATGGCAAATATTGAGACTTTGAATCTATCAGAATAGGAAAGTTAGGTTCCAAAGCCTATCGTCATCCTCTTCAGCACCCAAGGACCTCCTCCTCCTTTCTCCCATAATACTTGTTGACGTAATGTATCTGTATTTGCTCCTTATTTGGTCATGGCAGATCTCACTGAATCAGCCCAGTCCTGAGGCTCCATGTGGCTTCTTTGTGACAGGTGGCCTTCTTTACTTGCTCAGATAATGATGGCAACTTTTTCATAATCTCAACTGACAGGTCTCTCAACCATGCATATAAGCAGTGTCACAACATTGTGATGCAAACCTTGACACTTATCTACATGTGTTGAAACATGTACAATGCCGCTTTAGCCAATCTGATGGGAGTGGCAAGTTCACATGCTAGCCTCCAGTGGTATGATTGAGAGGCCCTGTTACCAAGATTATCAGTGCCATGCAAAGCACAGAAACCAGCATAAGCCACATGATGCAAATGGGCAACTCCTATTACCAAAGAAGGAGACAACCTTAAAAAATGTACTTCATACATGCACTAAAACCCATCTGCCATGTTGAATGCAGATAAAGTAACAAAAAAATAAAGTTAGAATTGTGGATACAAGAAAACTTTTCTGTGAACACTGAAGTCTGGTCATTAACAATCTGTACATGTTGAGACTCTTAATAATGAGGACCAGCTGTTTTAATTGAAGAGCTAGCCTTTGCTGCTGTTCCAGAGCACATATTACATATAATTTTTATTAGGAATTTTGATTATAATAGTAAAATCTAATACAAACTAAACTTAGAAAGAAAAGGAAATAGAAAGAAGGAGTAAAAAGTGCAAGGAAAAAGGAAAAGAAGAAAGAGAAAAGTAAGAATATAATAAAGAGAAAAGAAATATATAAAGAAGTGACTTCCAACCTTCATCACAACAAATATAAACAAATTTAGTGA